GGGTAGTGAATGCAAACACGTTCTTTCACTTACTCTCTTGATGGTCACTTTCTACACCGAGTGGATTACGAGTTCGAATATGCTGATCCTTCAGTCCTACTCCATTTTTCATTGCATGTTGACTTTCTATTTGTGAATTACAGCTTTTCTCCTCAGAATAGTTCAGTCAGTTTAATACAGCAGCCACGCTACCTTCATCACCATATATAAAGTTTAAATCTTTATCTTTTGTCAAATCTCTTATGTGATGAGCAGAGTAATCGGAATATGATGATATTTACCTCTTGCATTTGCAAAATTCAGACAGCAGTTAAGCACAGTCGTTTCCAAATGATGCCTAGATGTCGAAAATGTCAAACACAAAATCTGATCCAGGTGGTTGATATTTCATTGGATAGTCCATGATTTTCTGTACATGTTTCTCAGTCACAGTTTTGGAATTCTGCCTATTAATTCAAATGCCAGAGACAAGATTCGCGTGATGCCAACATCTTTGTGGATATTTTAACTGGTCTACACCTGCGTAGATAAGTAAATAGGTCATACAAGCACGATATTGTTAAGATGCGCTCATAAGTATTTAACAGCACAGTATATGATAGGAGAATGCAGACCAACCAACAACTTGATTTGGGACTAGAGTGGTTTACTAAATCCTATCATCAACAAGGACTTCATTCAACGCGACATATATACACTAAGACCAAGCTATTCGAGGCTACTTCACTTTTACTCATTATTATTACTATTAAAGCAAAAGCCTTTCCAATTCCAAAATGGAAGAAAATTTCCAGTCTAATTTGCTTCTGTGACCTCAATTTTATCTGTAATTCTCCTTTCCACGCACTCCCTCACTTCAAAAGTGCAAGCCTTCGTATCTTATTTGTAAAGTATTCTCAACCCAAGATCTCTCTTCTTTTCATTCATTATTCTCAATATCATTCAAATTACGTAAGACTACTCAATTATTTCCTTTCGTCGTTTAAAATCCAATACATTTTTCACTAATAAATACCAATCATTCACCCCAATGTGCACTCCACGACTAACTATTTAGCTGTATAACTCTGGTCAATCAAAGTAACAAAAACAGTTGTCTGTTCACTTGTCTTTTTATTTGACATCAGCAAGGATATTCCTTATAATTATGTTACCATTTGTCTACTTTTATAACAAGTTTATACGGACTCCACAAGTTTTGTTATGTGGAAAATAAACTTGCAAATTGTATTGGAACGTTGGTACTTCAACCGTTTCCATGACTATCTGTCTGAAACTTTAAGACTAGCTCAGTTCCTATTATTAACAAACTCTACCTCTTCTTCGAATTCACTATAATAACAGTTGGAAGGAGATGTAGCTGAGAGAGAGTCTAGTGTAATGATAAATGAATAGTTACGCATTATTCATCCACATGACAAATGAGCATTAATCCTAATGACTGCAGTGAAACGATGACCCGGCTAGTCCCACAGCTGAGTTGATGGAGCAGGTGGCCAGTAACTCCAAGGTCACTAATTCAAATTCTGTCGTGACTTCGATTTCCACTGCATCCTAATTCATCATCCATTACAAAATAACGAGAGCCTTCATTGCATATCACCGCTAGTTGTAGCGTCGTGGTCTGTTGCCACGGTGGTTAAATGACGAGTTATATTTTATTTTTTTAAGTGAAATTTTCCACTAAAGAGTTTTTTCTACTGACGCACATACTATCGGTAGCATTACATTCTTCAACTGCGTTACACTTCCAGCATTTTCATCACAAAATGTTGCTTGATATTGAATAGCTACTCAATGTATTGGATTAAAGGAGGCAGTTAGTTCGAAAGTGTTAAACCTATTTTATTGAATTTTCATGAAATTATGCTGGTATATTTCTGCCTATTTATTGAAACGCCCTAATACCCACCGGGTAAAGCAGATGAACCAACTTCAAGGAAGGATATGACAAATAATCACCCATAATAATTAATCCTTGCCAGAGAAATTCTGTAGCAAATGAACAGATTTCATGGATCTGAATACCACTGATCCATTACTGAAATCATGGTATAGATATGATCATTTGAAAAAATAACCTACATTCATCCTTTATCGCCTAATATTTTAGTATGCGTGAAGGTATTTGTTGTCTTTTCGTGACTGTGTATTGAACCTGTGTCACCTTTGATATGTGGAATACACAGAACAATTTAAATTCATCTTGAGGGGATTTCATAGTACATATAATGATGTTGCAAAATAACCATGCCAACCTTACAGAAAATTCCTATGCAAGAGATAACTAAGCACAATTATTACTATTGGATTTCAATGTTGTTCACCTTAATGTTAACCCAACATATTGACCACATCTCCCTAAATATAATCGCTTATACATGTTCACATAAACGAGTAATAGAATTATTGCTCTATTATGAATTTCTAGAAAGCCTACATGATAAACAAAGAAATGAAATGGATCCAGCATTTTCTCAGGCTGTTAAAATGCGTTGAAACGATTTTGTTCACACTGTAATTCAAGTATGATTTTATTTACTTGGATGTTCTAACGTTATGGAGATTTTCAGCAAACAAAATCCATGATTCATCCAACAACCTTCGCTACTCAGTACGACAAAGCCCTGGTGATTATCTACCACAGGCTATGTCTAACAATCACAATAGAGTTCATTAGAACTATTTATACAATTCGGAAGAAAATTAACTATTTGAGTATCTAAGCAATGTGTAATGAGTGAAGGTGGGACGGAAATCTGGTTTGGAATAGGATTCGAACCAGTAGTCACCAAACTATCAGCCGATACTCTACCATTTATGCAGATCCCAGATCTCATAATCAATTTACAATTAATTATCAAGTTTGATCACGAGCTAACATCATTTAAAGATTCATTGGAAATCAAATATTACTGGATAACTGTTTCATCTTAGTTTACGACTCCCCAGTACTATGAATCCATGACCCCACCAGCAATAGAAAAACCTTCAGATTCAGTTTAGATCTATCCTCCGAATGCATTAAAAGATGTCCTGCTGATATCGACATGAAGTCAAGTTCAATAGTATTGATATATATATGTATATATATATGTCTGTTTTCGACATAGAACTTTGCAAATATGTGCGGCAGTTCAAGTCGCCACACTTCACAAAGCAAGAGAAGAAAGTAGGAGAAATGCATAATATAGACAGTAAACAGAGGTGTGAGACAAAAGGTATAACAATAACGAAGAACAAAACAGTTTCATTGGAAATCATAAGTCACAAGGAGTGGATGCATCTGCGCCACTGAGAACGATTTTGAGCCATGTCACCAATTGTTTCCAGCCATTGATTTTTACCCTCCCAAGGACCCCAACCAGGAAGTCTACACCTTCCTACGTGGCTCAGACTAACTGTTGTAGATTTCATTGACTGGTGCCATGTTTTCGTTTGACCGCCGCTAGCTCTTTTCCAGCCTGACCCTATATCAGCTAGTAATCCCCGTCAGGGGAGGCGATGGTTAGGCATGCGCAGCACGTGACCTAGCCATCTCAATCTATGTAACTTTATAACCTCTTCGATTGATTTTCCCTCTTTGCCCAACACTCTACACCTAACGTCAACATTACTTACTGTATTATACCACCTAACGCGAGAAAGAGATCGTAAACATCTGTGGTCAAAAGCAGTCAACCTTTTCATGTCTTCCGCTCTCTCCCACCACCATAGAAAAGGACGGAGCGAACTGCTGAGCAGTACACACGTCCCTTGGTTGATAGCTGGATGTCACGCCTACGCCAGAGATGGTGTAAGTTAGCGAAAGCACCCGAGCTTTTTGGATCCGTGCTGAGATTTCGTTACCAATCAATCCATTGGTGCTGATACAACTTCACAAATAGGTGAAGTGGTCAACATGTTCTATCACTTCACTCCCTATCACTAAGCTAGGAGTTGACGTAGTCCAGTCCTGTAGCAGCATCTTACATTTTACAGGGGCGAATCGCATGCCAAACATACGAAGATTGCTGCTCAAGGTGTTCAGAAGACTCTGCATTTTGTCAGCGTCCTCGCCTAGAAGGACTATATCGTCTGCATATTCTAAGTCAACGAGATTATTCCATGGTAGCAAGTCAATCCCTGAGTCTCTGAAGTGAGTTCGGGTTAAGTCCATTAGTACGTCTATAATGAAGTTGAATAGAAATGGGGATGATGGGCATCCTTGACGGACGCCACTAGTCGTCACCACTTCAGATGACAACTCGCCGTAAGCCCTCACCTGGCTGCATGAGTACGAGTAGAGTGCCTTAATCAGTGCAATGTATTTTCTAGGCATTCTGTTTACAGTCAAGCATCGCCAGAGAACCTCTCGGTCGACAGAATCGAATGCCGCCTTTAAGTCAAGAAATATAATGATTGTTGGACGCCGGTAGGAATGCCTATGTTCTAGAATCTGTCGGAGGGTGAAGATATGATCAATGCACTCTCTTCCTGGCCTAAAACCTGCCTGGTTTTCTCGTGTTTGTGCCTCCCGAGCACCACTTAGTCTACGCAATATTATTGAGCCTAGGACTTTAGATACTATATTAGTCAAGTTAATCCCTCTGTGATTATCACAAGAAGACTTGTCTTCCTTTTTGTATATCGGAATGATCAGTGACTTACACCAACGCGATGGGACCTCCTCTGATTCCCAGACGCTGCCTAGACCTCAGTTAATGCAGACAGTAAACTGTCTCCACCGTACTTAAATGCATACTTATGTATATATATATATATATATATATATATACTGGCTGGAACGAGCATTCCTGCACTTCCTACATTGACAGGAAGATAGTTTGGACAGCGGTCAGAATAAAGACAGTTACCACCATAGTGCAAGTTATTCACATTATTTTGGGAGTCTTTCGGTGAAGTCCTACTACAGGCAAATAAGGATGTAACAGCAGTTGTGTTTCTTTCAAACGACCAGCAAGCCATCTACGTTGCCTTTGTGCTCTGAGGAGAGTGGGGTAGAAAACATCGACCTCGAAAATTGTACATCCCAACTTACCTTGGGGAAGTCTGTTGTCGGACTTACAAGTCGGTTATTACGTCAATAGAACAGTAATCCACTTTTGCCTGCTGTTTACTCTATCATTACTGTGATAAACTTACATAAAACATCAGCTTACGTAACCACTGTATTATTTTAAATAGACAAGTGAGATACCTCTTCATTAGCAAGAAGTGACTAATTCCACCTATCCACTTTCTCACAGATTTATAACATATGCGCATGAACCTCAGTTCTATGGTGTACCATGAGTTTGACAAACCGGCATGTTGACTACAAAAAATATATTTCAGTAAGATCGTTTACTAGTTTCCTGCAATTAGAAAACAATATAAATAAAATTATCTATATTTATGACTACTTTCGTTCAAAAACTTAATTATACGCAATCTATCAACAAAAATATTATTATGTCCGGTTGAGCGATTTCAATTTTTCAGCTATTTCCTCAGCTGTGTTATTGGCTATTGAAATGCATGCTTCTTTCCCCATTTCTAGAATAAGATATTAAAACAAATAAAGCAGACAACTAAACAAACCATAACGAGCAAACACTTTTGGTGTAATATCTTCTGATTCACGAACCATAAACTTCACATGAGGATTAGCAGATTTAAGTGATGGATAGTGACGAAGGATGTAATCTCTGTGAATTTGTAGGAAAAATGAAATTATTTCTTTGTTAGAAGAAAAAATTGAATTAATTTGAATGAAATAGTCTATTAACTGAAATACAAACTCTTAGTTAGATGAATACACTTTCGTTCAAGTTTTCTGTGCAATCCCTGAGGTCTACATTGCACCAGGCTTGTAACCTTAGGGAGAGATATATACATTATTAAACACAATATGAGGTTCCTGGCACTTTATTAAAACAGACACAACACTGTAAAGGTAGAAATTGGATCATCCTTAAACTTCACTGTCAAAACCAAGTTCATATACAGAATAAATAGCACTCTCAAATACTAACAAACATTGGGATATTTCAGTAGCGCTCTTTGTAGTATGTGAATAAAGGCATGAGTGCTCCTTTTCAATAAAAATGTCAGCTGAATAAGGAATTAATTAGTAATGACTAAAACTTTCATCCAATACTGCTACGTTTACCTGATTTTAATACACATTCAGAAATCTCAACAGTACTACTAATGGTTTAGTTTGGAGAACATAAAAAACAATTTGTTTATGTTCTAATACTTTATGACTAAACGATTCGCTACAGTTTATATAGTTCTCGAAATGAATGAAATGTCCTTTGAAGACAAGCAAGGTGTTTCGCAAGTTTGAAAGTTAGAGTGAGCTACAATGCGCAGAAAGTTTTTTAGAGAAAGATGACTAGATGCTGAAAGAAGGAACCAGAGATTGCCGAATTTCTCTAGAAGAACCACTATTAGAACTCAAAATTTGAAATGTACCATGGTAGATACATCCGGTTAAACATTCTGTGACGATGTTCCTCTTGATTTTTTCCATTGCACGTGATGCTTAGAAATAGAGAACCTCTTATATTTCCAAGGAAATATTTCAAGATGGCTTCTACCTAAGAAACTCCGGATATCTAGAAGTTCCATATTGTATGAAGTAGACCCTCAAGGTGTTTTTGCACACCCAAAAAACTATGGGATCAAGATGTCAGAATAGTTTGAAAATGTAATGACAATCACAAGATAAGAATCGTATGGCGTTTCGTTAATCCTCGTCACAATAGTTGAGACCAACGCTAAAGTGAAGAGACGAATTCATGACTATAAACCTTGTCAGCATACAGCCTTATTATCCACGCGCTAGACTCCCACAGCCCCATAGTTGTGCTTGTTCGCTCCATATTACCTAATAGTAAGATTGTATAGATTAAATAACCCATCGAGTATCAGGTAACTCGTTTTATCTAGTCAATCTTACTGGAAAGTCACATGCAATTTGCTACGTAACATGACATAACGTACGACTAGTCTGACGGCGAGTTTCTGGTGCATCCTTCAATGTTAACCGCATCCTTAGAATACATACCTTAGTCGAGACTTGTAGAGAAGATTCAATTTTTCTAACGTCATTTGGTGGGATGCAACACGAAACAACATCAGAATTTATTAAAACACCAAAGATCCTGGTACCTCCCATTACACTTTACGACAAAGTTGAATAGCAATGAGAACGAACAAGCGCACAAATGATCTTGAAGCTATTAACCAGAGTAAAGAAGGAAAATCTAAGTGAAAAAGTCTATTCCCGAATAAACGGTTAAAGTGGATGGATGCTGGACAGAATCGTCTATCTAAAATGCTGAAAGAATAACTCTCGTTTCCCCATGAGTATCGGTACTCATCCAAATGACTGTTGTTTAGGGTCAGGAGCTTAAGTTAGCTGACGGTTAGGTTAGCGATAGTACTGAACTGAAAGGTTAGAGGGAGTTTTGGAAGTCACCGAATACAATTTATGTCAAGGAACTTTTGTAGATGAAATACCTCCCTCCATTCTTGTAAAGAGCTCGCTAGCAATACTAAACGTTCTTCTCATGTAATCACTGCATTATTATATGCTTAGACTGATCTGTCGCTTCAACGTTACCCATGCCATACTTTTCTTGCATTACTACTCCTTAACTTCGCTGTGTTTACCTACAAGACACAGCTATTGCATTCAATGCATTTGCTACTGTCTCCATTAGTCAATTGCAATATTATTAATCTAACATAACCAACTGTAATACCAGAACTTATAGGGAATCTATTGTTCCATCTAGCATAATCGCCACCATACTCTACAGCTCCGTGGAAACGAATTACCTATCACACTCAAGTGAAATATCACTTTTTCAGTAGACTGACTACAATGACATACTACATAGGATTGCTATGAGACTGCTCCCAGCTGAGAATACAAAACGATGGGCAAAACACAGAAGAAAGGCAGTGCAAATATGTATAGACGGCAAGAAGAATGTTATCATCCCGCATGTTTCCCAAGATAAAATGATACATTTACAGCTGACGCGTAGTTACCGTAGGGACTGGAAAGCTACTAAGAAATCTACGTTCAATGCAGCTAACTTGGGGTCAACCGTACTTGAACTAATTTTGAAGAAAACTTCACGCAGCTAGTAAAACAATTAGCTTGTTTCATGATTTTTTCAATACAGTTTGGCTGTTATAATTTAGTTATACCTAAATTCTTCGAATTAACTTACTGTTTCATCATTAGTTAGTACCTCAAATATTAACAGATATTTGCCCCTTAGGTCGCTGAAATGCTCTTTAGCTACTACGTCTAATATACAGCAAGAACACGTAACAGCAACTAAAGTGGAAAGGATCAGTAAAATTTGGAAAAATGCTGGGTACGGTTCAGAAACCTGTGAAAAGAAGCGAGATGTGCCTATTATATAATCCACCAATTTGACCTGCGTTTCTGACATAATGCTAAACACGCGGATATTTTTCGTGGCATCTTAAGTTGAAATTTTGCATTCAGTAACAAAAATTCATTTTTATATTAAGTTGAAGTAATTAAAACACCTTATGCCAGAGCTAGATGGAGCAGCTTGAGCAAGAAGAAACCGTAGCTCTTTAACCTTGGATCCGAATCTGGACATAGCGTAGGATTCCAAATAGCCTACTACGTTTCAATGTCCAATATGCAATACTCGTTTTCAAGCTATAGCAAATCAAACTTACTTTTGTCAGTTAGCTTCTTAGTACATGTGAAAGTCTCAAATTTCCGATGATCCAATATCCAATATCGTTTTTATCAGCTAATATGAACAATTTTGATTTCTTTGTGCTATAGATTACTGGTCTTTGGTAAACTTCTGCATAGTTCATCCCACCACTTGACTGTCGTGGCTTTGGTTGACTCGAAAAGGAGTGATGTTGGGATCAACTATATCTTGTTTGCAGTGTGCGCTGTGTTAAAGCTTTGTCACTACTGTGAATGGAGTTAGTCCTTCGGTGTCGTCGACAAAAGAGGAGATAATAGTAACAGATATAATTAGTGTAGGTTATTCAGAATAAAATACAGAACGTAAAACAGGCAGCTGATCAAATTTGAAGTTTTTGTATAATGTCAATAATAATAAGAGTAGGTGCAGTACTTGGAGTAGTCAGGAGAGAAAGACAGCAGAGCGTAAAGAAGTAAAACGACGAATTTATATGTTTACCCATAAATGGTGTGTGCTTTTAAGGGGATAGGCCATTTGGACGCAGTTCTTGTGTCGCTGTATGACTGTGCAGCCTCCGTTTAAGGCTGTCTACAGACGGCGATGTAGCTACATTTGCAGGTAAGGAGTTCCGTGGACGGCAAACCTGCAGTGAAAAGAAGTGGGAGGGCACTCGAGTTTTGCCCTCTGGCGAGCTATCTTCCTAAGATTTTCACGAGGAAGACCATACCTACTTAGTGGCAGAACACCTTTGTTTGGGTGTTTCTGGTCATGTGCTTTCTCTTAGGCAGTATTCAAGTCCCCCCTAAGCTAAGTGTGACGAGACCTAATCTCGTTAGCCGTTCATCATCCTTTTTGTTTCAGCGACCCATCACTCCTTTTTTCGCCCGTCTTTGGACTCTTTCTAGGGGGTTTGCATCTCTTCTCAGCAGTTGGGGGTGCAATGATATTGCGCACTCCAAGATGGAGGCTGAAGCACGTTTCGCACAGCCTTAAAAAGAACTCAAGTGTTAGTGCACCTGTTTATATGTAAAGTGTATGACCGCATATACCTTTGCTACATCTTCCTTGCAATTCTTGCCTGTGTCCATTTTCACCGTTAGAACAAGACCTAAGTCACGATCTGACGTTTTGCTGGACAGGCTTCCGTTTGACAGGGTGTGTCTAGCATTCTGCAGCCCACAAGTGTGTGATTTCACTACTTTGCACTTTATCAGGCTGAAAGTCATGCCATTGGCCACCTCCCAGTCTTCCAGAAGCTTTAGATCTGCATGTAGCCTATCTGAGTCCTCCAGACACTTTACTGCCTTCCATGTCTTTTCGTCGTCAGCTTAAAGAAGAATCGGGCATTGATGAAAATCAAAAAATCAGTGGCCCTTGGATAGAGCCCTGTGACACTCCTGATGAAGAGCCGTGACAGGATGATCGGATTCGATTGACCTTATTGCAGAATTTCCTTTCAGCTAGGTAGTCCTTTAACCATGACAGATGCGACTCACTATTACCTGCCTGACTTATTTTGTGTAGGAGGTCATGGTGAACTGTATCAGATGCCTTCTCAAATTCCAGGGAGACCACATGGACTGGAACATTCATATCCCACCATGATGTCCAATCGTCCCAGTCTGATTGTAGGTTTGTTACCCAGGATTCGCCTTCCCTGAGACCATATTGTTCTTCATGGAGTCTATTAGTCCTATCTAGGTGCTCCTTGGTGTGATCATCAATAATACTTTCCAATACTTTTGGTACCACCGGGAGTAGCGCTGCTGGTCTATAACTAGTGGCACTTTTCCTGTCCCCACCCTTGAAAATTGGAGGAAGGAAGGCCATTTTTCACTCTCTGGGCAGTTTCCCTGAATCCATCGAGTGTTGGAACAAGTCGCATAAGGGCGTACAGAGAGCTCCGGCTCACTGTTTCAGAACAGATGGTCCGATGTCGTCACAGCCTGGGGACTTTCCTGATGTGGGTCTCTCTAGCTTCCTTAGAACTATTGCCGAGTTTATTTGGAGAGTAGACACTAGGTATCCCTCCAGTGAAGTATTATTGCCGCCATTTTGGTCCTCACTAGTAATACTCACATTGCTGTTTAACTGTTTGGCGAAGGCTAAACTGATTGCTTCAGCCATCTCCAAACCAGTGAGGTATTGACCATTTGAACCTACATGGGCGCATGCCTGCCGGTTGGTTGGTTTTCTCTCCAATGCGAATCAGTATAATCGTTTGGAGTTCGTCAGGATTTTTCGGCAAAGTTAGCATGAAGTGACCTCCTGTCACTCCTGACTATTGCGTTGCACTGGTTCTTGAGTTCTAAGTATGCATCATGGTCGGTCTGACTCTTGGATATTCACCACATAGACCACTCCTCCCGCATAGGTTGCAGAATACGTTGCGTTCCTCTCTTTAGCCATGATGACATTTTCTTTGGCTGTGTTGTGACTAGAAGGACAGTATTCGAGATTGCTGTGTGAATAATCTCTTTTACCACTTCCCAGTGTTCATTCACAGATAACTTAGCCTATTCTATTGGCCATTCTGCGTCAGCCAAAAGTCTTCGCATTCCAGCATTGTCAGCCTTGTTATGGCACAGACATGATTGCGTAGTGTCCCACTGTGAGCGCTCAAGAAGAACAATATCGAATCCCGTGACCGCATGGTCACTACTTTCAAGTGAGGTCATGATTTGCACATCTTCGACGAGTAGTTGGTCACTAGTTAGAATATAATCTAGTTTCGATGTCTTTCCACTAGGAACCCACCTAGTGTCGTCTCCAACATTCTCAGTCAGTCCTGTATTTCCAATGGTTTGCAAAAAATTTCCATCTAATTTCCCCTGAGCATAACCCGAGCCAAGGTTCAGTGATGGGGTATTGAAATCTCCAGCTATGGTACTTTGGTTGCAGCCCAAGTCCCGCATCGCTATGATGCTGCTGAGCAGTAGCTGGTTGTGCTTTGCCCCAGAGGTGGGTGATCAGTAGATGCCACTCAGTAAATGCTTAATGTGTCCCACGGTGAAATGACATCACATGGAGTCTGGGAGTTTAATAAGTGGTGGGTCAATCGCACATACGCATTTAGGTTGCTTGTCAAAGTACATGGCAACTCCAACCTGCCTTGTTATCCCCACTTTTCCTGACCAAGACCATATCACTTATACTGAATTCGTTGCCCGCAATAGTGAGGGTTAGGCAGGATTTAGTAAGGCTGATTATTTTAAGGTGTAGGTGTGACTGAGAGTTTATGAGTTCACCTGTTTTCCTTCTCAGCCCTCTCACATTGCTATACAGGCAGCTGACAGTGAGTTTTCACAACCCCAGCGTGTTGTGGGGTAGTTTACGTTACGTTATCCGCTGGTAGAGGATTTAATATTGGGGCTAGTTGACAGATTCCAATGAAACCGGCCCGTTGTCACTTTTTTCTCTGAATTCGGGTAGGACGCTTGGGTGACACTGACTGCCATTCTCACTAACGCATCGCCCTAGTGTCACTGAGGCTTGGGGACGTATTAAGACCCCATTTTGCTGCCTCCTTATGGTTCGAGGTCTGCTTTTGCAGCATCAGATGCGTCCTCCCAATTTGCTTTTGGTCTCGTACCACCGTTGAGGTGCTAGAGCCAACTGTTCCTGGGAGTCGAATTTTACATTTGTTATGATAATAATAACAGCCTTGTGAAGCTAATCTATGTGAGATGATCAGGGCGACGCAGCAAGAAAATCTAGGCTGCTCCAGAAGTACCAAAGGGCCATCCGAAATGACAGCCGTCTACATTACTGTACGTCATGCATGTTTTTCTCAGGCAGTGCCAGTTTCTAGCTCCGGAACACCTTCAAGGTAGAGGGCATCAGTTCCGATGACTCCCTCACCGTTCG